TGTGTATCCATCCACTTCTCCTTTCTTGGGAGATGCGATTTCGCCGAGCACTGGCTATGGTGAAATCCTCCTGCCGAGGCATCGCAGTGGCGTCATTTGGGATCCTTTGAATCGATTCAATTGGCCACATACATTGGGTTTTTGTGACTTTTCATTGGCTGCTGGTAACATAGTGCAGTGTGCACTACGTTTTCTTCCTACATCGCGATATTATTTTTTCGAATTGTACAACTTAGATATTGTATGTCGTTTCCAATAAAATTAGTATTTTTTTGCAAACAAATCGAAAATGCAGTGCCTCCTGCACTACGATTCCGGTAATTATATCAATACTTCACTGCATTTTCCGGATTATGTGTTGTGGTTGGAAATCGTAATGCAAGTTCCACTACCTTCATCATTTTATCCAATCAATGAACTTATGGTTTTGATTGGACATAAATACACAGAGGCTCGGAGTGCAATATCCACAAGGCACATGCGTATCGTTTTGCGATGAACGAGTTGGTGGTGGTAACCCATAATCCAGAAAATGTCATGAAATATAGGCGAGAAAATAACGGCATCGTAGTGCACGACGCATTATATTTTCGATTTGTTGAAAACATATTGTCCAGGCTTTAATAAATTCCACTTACAAATGCCTAGTGATTAAATTTGAGAAATTATTTGTTCAAACAAGTAGGGTTGTTGTTGTTGTGCCATACTACGATAGTAGAAGTTGAGGTCAGAAAAATTGGGTTGGCAGGTTCGGTGGGTGTGGGTTGCAAGCGCTATTTGGCGAGCATACGCCGTGGCCGCAGGAGCGGTGGTGGTGGTGGTGGTAGTGTAGCCAGGTTCAGGGGTCGTCTCGTACTACTGTACGTCCTCCTAAGCGTACGAATCGTACGCTTAGGAGGACGGATCGAGTGCGCAGGCTCCAATGTCGTGGTTGCGTGGTAGTCACGGAGCCGAAGTGCGAATGCCAGGAAACTTAGCACCATGGCGTACTAGTACGCCAAAAAGTACTTTCTTGGACCAAGCTAGCTTGAAGCTCAAACGCGATCCATGAAAATTCCTATTTTCTAGCGATGTGATTGGTCCAATGAAACGTAGTGCAATCTGCATTACGTTTTCCCTACTGGTTTGAACAAATAATTTCTCAAATTTAATCACTAGGCATTTGTAAGTGGAATTTATTAAAGCCTGGACAATATGTTTTCAACAAATCGAAAATATAATGCGTCGTGCACTACGATGCCGTTATTTTCTCGCCTATATTTCATGACATTTTCTGGATTATGGGTTACCACCACCAACTCGTTCATCGCAAAACGATACGCATGTGCCTTGTGGATATTGCACTCCGAGCCTCTGTGTATTTATGTCCAATCAAAACCATAAGTTCATTGATTGGATAAAATGATGAAGATAGTGAGTGGAACTTGCATTACGATTTCCAACCACAACACATTATAGTTATCTCTGGATATAATTTGGGCATACAAATGTCAAATCAAATTATGTCGAGTACTTCGTATCTGGGTTTACAAATTTCGTGTTTCGTACAGGGTATCTCCAATTATATCCGGCAGATATATTTCGTAAAACATATATATTTGGTTATACTAACTGGGTTCAAGAACCCCTGTAGACGACATCACCTTTTTACTAGTAATACTAATGATACCCGTCAAAGTCCTTGCCACGTCTAAAAGATCTCCGAGGCTCAGAGTGTACTACAGTACTCCAGGAGTTGGAAGTAATCTTGAAATGTTATTACTTTGCCTCAGGGGAAGTTCCAAGTAGTTTTCAGAAATACTGTAGCATGAGCAAGAAGTACCCTTCATTTTCACGATTTAGAAAAGACGTCAAGGACCTCTTTTTCTACTTTTGGTATAGTGAGTTGCGTAAAAAATCGCACAAAAAGAGGTAAAACAGTAGGAAACTGTACTTGGAACCAATTTTTCATTTTGATAAATATATCTACTCAGAACGGCCCCTGTTAGTTATGTTGTGTTTAACGAGTAATTTCTGGAAAAAGCAGGTCGATCTTGTACATTCATCTGTGTAGCGTGCGACAAGTGCCATAACGTTGAAGGTACTGTCCCAAGAAACAGTCATCGAGTATGCCTTGGTCGTTCAATTGTTCTATGTATTACTCGTATAGAACGCCCTCACAAAGGGCGATGTCGGCCCCTGATTCATTTCTCGTTTTCACTTATTGGCATGAAGTTGTGCTGCTGTCGTCCACGCCGCCGCCGCCGCGTCCCAAGTCGAGGTTGACAGACTCACGGTGGTGTTTGACAGCCTCGCACCCCTCGATGCCGGGGCCACGGGCTCCCACATCTCCAAAGACCGAGGCGTGGCGGTTCAATTCCCCAGCTTCCCGGCGTCAGAAGCAGCTTGTGGCCCCGCTGGACGGACCCTTGAATATGTCAACTTTACCCTCAACACGCTCAACATTCCCACCGACGAGTCGCTGTGGTTGCAAGCTGCGTTGTGCCCTTCTGCCAACGGTAACCAATTCCCCCATTCATACACACATTCCCGCGTAGTTCCCCCGTTTCACACCAATGTATACATATTCACGAGAGTTTTCCTTCTAGGCTTGCCCAATTGCGTCAAGTCCGACACCCCCGCACGCATCACCATCGAAACCTTCGACAGACGCGTCAAGTTCCAATGGTTCCCCGCGGTCCCTATTGTTCTTGAGCCCGCCACCACGTACTGGTTCACTGTGCTCTCGAACGGCGAAACCAAGGACAAGTTTCCCATCTGGTTGGACGGCACCAAGGAGTTCTCGACCGCGAACGACCCTAGGAACGAGGTGCTGGTCGCGTACACTGAGAAAGAAGGCGGTCCATGGGACGTGTTAGTCCGCGACGATGGGAACCGCCTTGTGCCGTCGTTCGAAGTGTATGCTAGCTAAACTACTAACTACTTGCGCATATGGATGTTGTGTGGTGCCGTCAGCTTTGAGTGCTAGGTCTGGGTACTCAATAACGACGGGAAGCAACGTACTGTTGCCGCCATCCGTGAAAGAGGAGGGGGGGGGTAAAACGAAGGTTCGCGGACCAATAAAACACTTCGACTTGTAGTCGTTAGCTACCGTTGGATTGCTCAAATCGAATTTGGTGTCGAATTGTTTCTTTGCCAATAATACCACTCCGTCCCAAATTACTGCCACGTTTTGATTTTTGGAGTCTTCGAATTTCATGACTTTTAGGAATTTTATTATTAATTTCCCTTACTTCAGTTATTGACGCATCTCGTGGCCACTTCTGCTCGATTGCTGGCACCAGCTTGGACAACAACATCGCTCTATACGCCGCGCCGTTCACATTGACACACTTCGTCTCCATGGTGCCTGCCGCGCGGTTCTTGGACGTTCGTTTCGCAGCTACTTGAGTAACAAATGGCCAAATAACTAATGCAGGGTCATAAAAATATGATGTGGCAAACGTCAAACGAGGCAGTAATTTGGGACGGAGTGGTACAGGTTTAGGCTACGAAGACTGCACACTCAATCAAGTGTACACCTATACACCTTGGCCACGTGTCACTCGTTCCCAAGAATCAAAACGAACCGGAGCCTTAATTAACTCCATAAAACAGTTGTTCGTAGTGGCTGCAAACGGTGCTGCAATTTCGTTTGATGTCCCCAACACTGTAGCAAACTTTAGTTGATGCTTCGTGTTATGTGACGGTGGAGGCGTATTTTCTTAGCAATTGCTGGGTGGGCCGAGGCTGCTTGGGCTCTGCAGTGGTGGAACAAGTCGCAACGATTTTGAACTCATGCCCTCCCAGCCACCAGAAAAGGTTTCGACCTGTGGAACGCGTGATAGTACGGCTTACCGTGTAATGTTTATCTGTTATCGGCCGAGCCTCTGTTCGACTCCCCGTGCCTGAGTGTGGGTAGCCGAATGTTGGTCACGAACGACATTTGAAGAGTGTGAAATATGAC